AAAGGATAAGAAATAAGAAAAAAAGAGTTTTGATTTAAAGCTATGTGAATAGCTGGAAGCGTTAGGAAAGTAGCAGTGAAAGAAAGAAAAGTATCTCTTTCTAAGTTGCAGAAGAAGGAACTTTGATACAAAATTAAATTAGAGATACCAAACATTTTATGGAAAGGGAGACAGATGTGCTTTTGGAACCGGGAAAATACTGGTTAACTTTTAGTTGTGATCACACTTTGATAGTGTCTATGTGAAGCAAATGTTTTGGCTCTAAATGTGTTTCTGCCAGTTTTACATTTTCTGCCTTCACCAACCTGGAGACAGGAGAATGAGGCAGATTCTGACTCTCTGAGGCGGTTCCATCGGAAGCAGACCTTAGCCTGCCCCACAAATACCACTCACTGAAGTGTCTTTCAGCAGAAAACTTCCTCCGCCCAAGCCAGAATGGGGGCAGAATTAGAGAAAATGGTCCTAGTACATTTTGCTACCCATAATTCATTAATTCACATAAAAGAATATGGTGTTGGGAAGGGCCTAAAACATCATCCGACTGTAATTATGTCTGCTGTCATATAAATGAAGCATATAGTTTTAATGGTATAATTGAATTCATTCTTTTTCTCACCTGGCCCTAATATACTTTGTTTTTTGTAAAATGCACAAAATAATAGGCAGGAGCTAAATTATTCTAAATCTGGTCATCTGATTCCCATGAGACACTGGGTGCTCATATTAGTAATTTCATACCTGAACACGATTGTGTCCTTCGGCGTCCTAGAATGTGAGTGTTCCAAGGGGCTTAGAAACCATCCGTCCTTCCTTTGGAGGATGAGGAAGCTGAGGCAGGGAGAGGCTGAGTTCTGCAAGGTGGCACAGAGGCACAATGAAGTTATAACTAAAACCTAAACTCCCTAGTCTTCCAACACCCCACTCCGCGAACCCTTCACGACACCATTTTGTGTGGAGATTGGGGAGCATTTTCCCGGCCTTTTAACTTCCTCTCTCCATGCAGGTCGCTTCAGTACTCTGCACGGGCAAAGTATCTCTCAGCATCCCAGGAAATTTGGAGTTCATATCATCTGAGATATTTTGCTCAAGAGGAGAGATTATTTTACTAGTTTATTGATTGATGGTCCCAAGAAAACTGACTACCTCCAGTTGTATATGGGCACCTTAATGGGCAGAGAAGTTTCAGGGTGTGGGGCAGAATCGCCTAAGTATGGGAGCTAGAACAGAAAGTCCCCACAAAAAATGTACCTATAGAGAAAGCAGCGTTGATGAAAGTCTAGAACCATTGACAGATTGTAGACTTCCGGAAAATTCAAATGTGCTATGTTCAAGGCCTTTGCTAAGGCCAAAAAGACATGAAAATGCTCTGGGACTGACAGCAGCATGAGTCCTGGGACCCATACCCACGCCTGTTCTAACAGGCACCCCAACTTAAAGGAGTAAGGTAGGCCTGGCTTGAAAAAAAAAAACACAAACAAAAACTAGACAAATAATTCAGGTGGAGTCTGAGGAAAGGAAGGGTACGGTCCATATACGGGGTGGGATGTCCTCGGAACCCCATGAGATGCAAACACACGCATATACTTTAAAGTGCTAGGTCAGGACAGTGAGGATGCAAGTGTTTTGTTTTGAATGGAGGATTTACTACCGCACGCACAGTCGACCTGCAGCAGAAAGCGTGTGGAGAGCGCAGAAAGCATCCCGAGGTCTCATCACTCTTAGAGGCACAAACAACGCCCCGCGTCCCACTCGTCGCCAAGTCCCCTGCCCCGTCCTGTCCCGGTGTGGCACTAACGAAGCCCCAGGGCCCCGACCCCCGGGGGGGTCCCACCGGGATGGGGAGGACGCGACGGCAGGGACCTCACAATCTACAGACTTGCATTAATCTACAGCGCTCAGAAATGCC